TTATGTCGGTGAGAACTATATTCTATAGACAGTAGAAAATATATAAATAAATCTATGATAAACTAAAATACTAAACGAGTATGTAATTTTAATTTCATAATATAACTTGATATGAGAGTGTGTTAATAAAATATGATAAGTATATCATGATGAATTTCGACTAAATAGAATAGTCTTTGATTTGCAAACAAAAAAACACTTTTAAAAACTTCAGAAACAATCATACTGATCGATAAGAGATTCTCTACCGAACCGGACGGAACCGACCGTTTACTGTTATCGATTAGAACTCTGGTGTCTACTGTACTGCATCTAACCCATTTCTCTATTAGAAGGTGTGGCAGGCTTCTATTTGGACTTGAAAATTTTGATCAAATTTTGCTGAAGAGAGACCTCCAAAGGAGGATTCCTAATCAGGACAGAGCTTGTAATATGAAAGGAAGTTTAATAGCATACTAGAAGAAGATCATAACATTTGAGCAGAGAAACACCCACACCCGTACCCTGGTAGAAGTATGTATAAAATGGTACAGCATTTCTTTCGAAAAAACTACAAAAGAATCTTGACAAATGATTTTTAATCGTAAGTTCTCACACAAAATAATGCGAAGAAAAAATGTCTTATACAGGTAGAAAAACAATTCTGTTTAATTAAACACTTTATAATAGAAGGTGTGGATGTGAGGTTTATGTGAAGAAAAGACAAACACCCACCTCCACACACCCTTTGTAAGGTATGACAACTTGTTTTACGAATTTCTGATTTTGTTTCTGAACAAAGTTTTATTTTAAGTAGTAAAAATGAATCTATGATAAGACATTGAAATCGAATATTAAGATTAAAAAATGCTTTCATTATATCACAACCATCAAGATATTCAAAAATTTTCAGAAAAAGTTTGTTTGACATATCAAAGTCAGTTAGAAAATTTCAACAAAAGTTAAAAGAAGTGTTTTGAAGTTTAAAGAAAGATTTGCTTTGATATTGAACAAAAATTTGTACAAATAAGATATATGGTTTGAGATAAATTCTTTTCATCGATTCACATCAAGATACATGTCTATCCAAAAAAATAAGATACCAGTGAAAAGAATGATGAAGTATGTCAAGATCTTTTATTTATTCAACAATAAACTTAAATGTAACATTCGAATACAGTAACAATATTTTATTGCATAAAAATTATTTTCAATATTCAAAACATCTAATGATTACATTGCTTGATCATTATTTGTGTACATTATGGTCCAGTGTTGATTTGTACTGATTGATCATTTTCTCCTGTAACAAGAAAAATATAGAGATCCAATCGATGAATAATATATAAAACTTACTTGATAATGGATTTTCAAATGCGATACGGGCTTCAATAGATGTTCTTGCCCAAGGTTGTAGTTCAGCTGATCCGAGCAATGTAAACACAACGATTCCAATGATGTAAATTGCAGCACAAATAAAAAATACAATATGCCAATTATTCGGATCCTAAAACGATCAAAATCTATCTTTTGTCAATATTTTAACGGAATTAAACAAACTTTTTCTGTAAGAGCACCAACTACATACGGACTAATAATACCAGGTATTGTTGCTAATGTATTGGAAATACCAAAGACTATTCCTGCATATGCTGGTGCAATATCATTTGCAACAAGTAAATATCCTCCGCCAACACAACAACCCCTGAAACATAAAGATTATTTTCCTTACAGAAATAAAACATGTGCCTACCGGAATGCAAAACCGATTGTTAATAACGCGACAGCAACATATCTTAATTGACATGTCACAAATGCTAAACTAAGCATAAATATTGCTGGTAAAAGATTTCCAAGTATATTAAATAATTTTCTTGTATTCGTTGTTGTCAACAAGTTTTTACGAATAATTGCATCAGCTATAATACCTGATATAATTGTACTCAGCCATACGACAATATAAGGTAAAGCTGAAAGAAATCCATTCTAAATTTTAAAATTAAATTAAAATGAATCGTTTATGTATTCTTTTACATACTGATTTAACATTAAATTTTAGAACTTCATCCATATATTTAGGAGTAGAAGTTAGAAACGTATAAGCACCCCAGTTATTACATATGTGAATAATAAATAATGCCCAACAAGCTGGTGATGTAAGAATAGCTCGCCATGGAGCATGAAAATTATTTTTGTTACTACCAGATAAGTGTTGTTGACTACTTTGAAGAATATATTCTTTTTCTTGTGTACTAATAAATCGATGATTTCGTGGTGAATTTGTATAGAATAAAATCCAAATAATACTCCAAATAAAACCAAAAACAGCTAGTGTATTTTTTTTTAGTAGAATAATATAGTATTTAAATCAAACATTAGTATCTACCTGCTGAATAAAATATTAATGACCAACCACCAGCAATATGCCATGAACACATCAATCCACCAATCAATAAACCAAATGCATTTCCAGCTGGTCCACCTATCAGTACAATGAGAGTAACAGTTTAAATTATAGGCAAAAATAAAATAAATTACCAGCATTCATAAAACCCATCAGTTTTCCACGTTCATGTACTGGTGCCCAATGAGCCCCGATTACAGCCACACATGGCGCAATGGTTCCATGTGCAAGTCCGACTAATAATCGAAGAATACAAAATAATATCCAATGTGCACTTGCAATTATTGGCATGAACGCAGTAACTACACTTGATACAATCATTGCTCCACCAAATAGAAATTTAGGACCAAATCGACTAGCTAAATATCCAGCTGGTATTTGAGTTATAATATAACCCCAAAAATAAGCACCTAAGATAATACCTTGTATAGGTTTTGTCCAAATCAGAGGACCGTCCTATAATGAACAGAAGTGAATAAATGAATATTTTATATAATTTATCTACAATATGATTTGTGTTATTTGTTTGAGGACAACTATCATCTGTATGTGTAATTAGTGTAGTAGTAGAATTTAATTTATTTTGTTCAATTGCTGAATGATTAACCATGCAGACTAGAGCAATACCAACATTCACTCTTTGTGAAAAATGTGCTATCATTCCAAAAAATCCAAGAAATGCGACAGTAATACGTATCAAACGCCAAAAAGGTACTATTGAAAAGAGAAATAGTCTATTTTCATTGTATCTAATGGTAAGGATTGAGACTTACCGGATGATTTTGAATTTATTTCATCCATTGATTTATTTTTATTAATAAACTGAAATCTACAACTCTGTGATATAAGCACGTCTTATTATATAAAAGCAAGAATCATTGAAACTTTGCACTGAAAGAGTATAAAGAGCATTGTTTTTTTTCTTGTTCTTGTTCTTGTAATATTATCTTTACCATGAGATGACAAAGGAGCAATGATTATGTATTTTTCTTTTATAATACTATTTTATTTACTAAATATTTCTTCTGTCCTTCTTGGCCACAGTTCTCTTTCTTTCATAAATAACAGTTTATGATGGTGCGTTGAATACATGAGATAAATTTTGTCGATAATATTGCTTGTCTTTCGTTGTGTGTAATATTATATGGGCGATCTCAACGTATATTATTCACTAGTGATACGTGAAACAATGACAAAAACCGAGGGAATTATAAAATAATTATACGAATAAAGATACAATGTACTTGTAAGTCTCTTATACTTTTGGTCACAAGATCTGCAACATTATGTGCACTCTCTATAGGAATAATAGTTTCTATCAAGTTATGTTGTATTTTTTGAAATTGAAATAATTTGTAAATAGGAAATAGAAATTGAACACAAAAAATCTTCGATTTAACATGATGAGACTTAATTATGCAACTGCGTTTGGACTCACATCTGTTAGCATTCGCCTCATATGGATGTTCTGCTCCTTACCAAAGCAATATGCTACTTATTTTCGTAGTAACTCTAACAAGTGGCAAGTAGAGCAATGCTTTAACAATCGATTGTCACTGTACAAAAGATGATAGACACCTTCGATTGTCACTGTACAAAAGATGATAGACACCTTCGATTGTCTTTAATTTCATATAGCTCTTGTCAGCATAAAAAGTGTTATACGTTCCAGTCTTGTGTGTGGGTGTAAGATGTGAATGGGTGTAAGGTGTGGGTAGGTGTGAGTGTGGACGAAGATAAGAACAACACTCACGCTCACGCCCACATCACCCACGCTCCCCCACCCCACCCCCACACCCCTACACCCTCACACCCCCCCCCCACTCCCCACACCCACACCTCCACACTCACACCCACACCCCACACATTCACACACACCCACGCCAACACCCATACCCCACACCCACCCGCACCCCCAATAAATATTCTATCGTTTAAAATACAAATTCGATATTTCAAACATCTCTTATTCTAATATTATAATCAACAGAACAGATTAACTGCTTTCATTTTGTCCAGACTTATGTATCATTGAAGTAATTATGTGCATAAAAATGCAACAATAGTTATTATTATTTTGATGACTGTAACTTCAAATGCATTTCTCTTACTCACATTGTTCTTATTCAAAATGTGCTTCTATGTAAGCACTGATACATTGTTTCTCCACTTTTATTTTATCGATTTCGTATTATTCTGTAGGAAGGAAACATAGATTACATTGAATCGAGCAGGAGAGGGTGTGAGTGCCCACACTCCATCCACACCCCACCCACACCCACACCCTTAATATAAATGCGAAGCCCTGAATTATACACAAAATGAAGTGTTACAATAAGCGAAATTTCGTGCATGTGTTTCTAGCAAAAAGCTGGTATCTATGAAAATCGATGTGAGTCTAAAAATCTCTGCTGGAAAAATTGTTTTTAGATCTACAAAGATTCGTGTGATATTGTGACACTGAAAGACTCCAATGGAAATAAAAAGTTCATAAATTGCAGGCTTAAAATCATTCACTCTTATAGACCTTTTGATAATAAGATTGACCGTAGCATCAACATATGACAAGTGTTTTTATGATTACACCGATCGTTTTATTCGATTAATATTAAAAATCCTACGAAAATTTGAAAAGTTCAAGAAATGCATCTTTAGCTGGTAAAAACTTGATTACAGTATCTTCAAATGTACGAATAAATTTAGTATCATGATTAACATGCACATTATGAACAAGTAAATGACATGATTTCATAAAGTAAAAATTAATAATGTGCATATTTGATATCTTATTAGCAGCGTTGTTACCTTGTAGATCAAGTTTTTCAGCGAATGTATGTTCAAAATAACGTACATTAAAAAAAAGTGAACAATTATAATGAAACCCGATTCGAGCTAAATAAGTCAACAAATTATATCAGCATTTGAATCGATAAAATCTTACGCAATTTATTTGCATCTGCATCCCGATAGAGCTTCATCACCATTACTCGTTGATTAAAGACATTAGAGGCAAGACAGCTGAGCAAATAGGCTAGTTGCCGAACTCGATTGAACATTGATCCAGTGACATGCATATTTTTTTCCGTGTAAAATGGAATACCGTGAAAAAGCTCCTTGTAAATTTCTAAATTAATATTCTGTGGTGCTTCACAAGGTCTTATAGCCACTCTATTGCTTTCAATTGTATTGTTTTGAATGGTATTGTTTAATGTGTAAAATTCACTGTTATTATAGGGTTGAAGAACTAGTAAAACAGTATCTTCAATAGTACTAGGCGTAATCAAATCATAGTCTGTATCGGCTAACATAGAATCACTTGTACAATTAGGCTTTTCATAGCTACTGAAACTTGGAACTATACTAGGATTCGGTTTGTCTTTTCCAATGCGTTTGAAAGCAGGATTTTCTGAATTTATGTTATCTTTAGCATCTGAATCACTTTTATCCTGTTGAACAATCGTCTCCGATAGAGTTTGAGGTTCCATTAGAGCTAGAGAGAAAAATTCATTGTGTCCCTTTCTGTATATTATATTTCTAAAAGACAGTCATTTACCACTTGTTGGCTGCGGTGGATTGATGCGTAATCGATCGATAGGATAACCAGCTCGCTCAAGTCTTTCCAGAGAACTTTCAAGTTTTACCTGAATTCCCGAAATCATATCTTCGGTTACTTCAGAAATTAAAAATTGACCTAAAGTGATAGCAATATCCATATATTCTATTGCAACTTGATCTTTTATATGCAACACAACTCCATCATCGGAATATTGGATTGCACATGTTGTCATGTCGCTCTTCTACAAAAAAACTACGTAGTCAAATAACATAAGTCTACAAAACTTACTGAAAGCGACTTCTCTTGAAAGGTCATTTGACAATCAATACTGTCAACTTCGTAAATGATCAGACTTTTGCGAAGCAATTCAAATGATTCGGTCTTTAATTTCGGTATTTTTTCGCCCTAAGAGAATGATATGATAATATATTGATGAGCATTATATTCGATTGATAAATTCGTTTACCCGTTTATTAACGACGAGTAAGTCAAGCCGATCCAAGATTAAATCACATAGTTCTTTTGATTGATTGGTTTGACGTGGGAGACCTAGTTCAATTATTTGAAAACAAATCGTAAATTACACGAATTTACGGAAGTTTTTGGCAATTATTGCAATTATTCAAAATAGACATTCAGAGATGAACTGATGTAAATAATAGGATAAGTTATTCCCATAAAAAAGAATGTTATAAGTGAACTAATCGTCCTCGATTTTGTAATCAAAGCGACAGGGACGTATGGCCATCTCTGGTCTAAATGCAATGACCAGCCATAAGTTCTTAAGTTAAACACTTTTAGTTTGATATAAGTATGATAATGGCTAAATACACATAAATACTCTTTATGTATCAATAAGAATTGACGTGAGGGTTTGTGTTGTAGAGAATAGGGTGGGTGTGGGTGTGGGTGTGGGTGTGGGTGTGGGTGTGGGTGTGGGTGTGAATGTAGGCGTGGGTGTGCGTGTGTGCAAGTATCATTGTAACCCACACGCATGTACACACATCCACATCCCGCAGTCACGCCCACACC